TGTGAGATGATGATCATATTTTTATTGTATAGAAAAGTTTAGATAAGTTAAATCTCAGGAGCTCACTAGGGTTAGGATATGCTTACAGGTTTAAAGAGTGCTTACAGAGGTATTTATAAATTGCCCACCAACAAAGACCTCATATCGATAGCGGGATTCAAACTCATGATCGTGTGTATTATTAGCTGACATTTTACTAACTGGACAAACTCTTGTTGGTAGATGATGATCAAATTTTGTTCTTTATATATAAAACTGTACTGTGTCAAATGTTATTAATTATTTTTTGAATCCTACACTCAATTTCATTGACAGTGGGAGGAAGCGAAATATAATATTTATAAACTTCAATATTGAGCGAAATTTGATAATAAGATAATATAATTCAATCCTTATAATAATGCTACAAATGGAAGTCTAATCAGATAACACCTCATGCGTGAATGACTTTTTTTTTTTGGTGACAGAATGACTTTTTCTTTATATATAGAAAAATCAATTTCAATTCTTGTGGGTGCATGACATTTCATTCTCAGACTTTTCCTTTTTCTCCAAACTGCATGAACACACTATACACAGTTCACACCATGTGGAGAGTCTAATCATAAAACACCTGAATACATTTTTAATTAACTTCTAAATAGTTGTTCCAATCCTCAATTAATTTAATTTGTTGCTACAATTTCAATAAAATCTGTCTTTAATTAAACTGTTCTCATCTGTTTTTAAATCGATAAATAAGAGCATAGTCGTGTGTAGATGATAGAGTTTGCTCTCTGATATTTATATTCATCTTTTTTTTTTTTTTTGCTTGTTGTCGGCCTCGTGAAATAATATACTATTAAATACAATAACTTTTGTAATTATTACAATTGCACTAATCTCAGTTCTTAATGAATAATATTATTTAAATTGACTGCTGATGAACTTGATTAGTTAATCTATATAAAGTCATCTACTTTATTTTTGACGGTTTGATATTTATAATTGAAAACTAAACTGTCTACTTCACAACCTCAATTTGCAACATTATCTTGAATTTTAGGACACTAATTAATTTATGGAAGACCAATAATATATTAAATATCAAACATTATGAATAGGTTCTTGAATAAGACAAATCAAGAAACGAAGACTGTTCTTGTCCCACATGTTCATTCCCTTGTCCACTAACTGCTATCATTTACCAAACTTAACCCTAATCTTGTCTTTACAATAATGTTCATAATGCAAAAATACTTTTAATAATTTATTTGTTTTGGATGTGTTGTGTGCAATAATTTGGTGCACAAAAAAAAAGTCTTCTTCAGATCATGGCTTTGTTGCGTGATGTAAGGAATTTTTGTTTCAATAAGTATTGAAACAGAAGACAATGGAAACAAACCCAAATCAGCCAGCAAATACATAATTTTCACCGTTCCCTAACTAACATTATTTATATCCCCAATTCTGTAAAACAAAATCTACTTACAAATTCATAATGTAATCCTGCATGCATTCAGTTTTATGAGTTGTAAGTTTAGAGAGGAAATATAACACACACAGACGTGATCAATTTAGCATTATTAGAGGAGTTTAGAAAAATTTTATCTAGTCTTGTTATATTTCTTTGATGGTTAGGCAGCATATTATATGCACTCAATTCATAGTTATAGGAAATATATCAATTATAATTAAACCTTTGACATTCTCTCACTCATTAACACAAGTTTAGATCTAACATAGATATTTTGTTGTTTAACTAGAGATAAATTTACATGCACGGAGTCACAGAGGTAAACTAAATGTGTGGAGCCAAAATTTTGAAAATAGTAATGTTTTACATATATAACACTGCGGAGGATTTTTTTATTTTTATTTCCACATTAGTTATATAAGAATTGACTGGAATGGAAGAATCTTTCACCAAAACACGTACATTATCTCGTGTGATTATAAAACTAAAATGTATAGTATGAATTATTTAGCTTTAATTCAGAATAAAAATCGTTTGTCAGCTCTTGGTAAAGAGAGATATATTTTATAAGAAAGTCATATCAATTTCATTCACTTTTTGAGAGAATAAATGTGAAAAAATGAAGAGAAAGTTGATTCCCATATTCCAAGACTTTATAAGTCAACAAGCTAATTCCAACAAAAGTGAATTGGATCCAGATTCTCTTGTTTTTCATAAGGGGAAAAAAAATCTTCCAAGTCACTTATGACCAACACAATATTGATATTTAATGATTGTTCAAATTAACTACTATATCAGATTTTGTTGGAGATACTATAATAATTATTTCCCCAAGACGAAGAACCACACAAATGAAAGCTAATTAAACATATAGAAGGCGAAAAAAAGAAAAAGAAAAGAGAGAAGAGTTTTTGCTTCCCAAGTCTTGGAGCTGACTCTTCTTAAGAATCTATTTGACCCATTAAATCAAATTGCAAGTTGCTCGTCAACTTGCATCAAAAGAAAAGATCTGAATCTGCATAAATTCCTCTGCTTATCTCCACAAAAAGTTCCCATCTCATTCTATGCTTCGTATTAATGGTTTTTTTGTTGCGTCTTATCTCATTCTATTTAATTATGAAGCACCAAATCATAATGCCCACTAAAGCTTTGGGCATTGTCACACAAAAAGCCACACAAGAACCTTATAAGGAGGAGAGGAAGAAGCTCAAGTTTGACTCGAAGAATTTGATGTTCTTAACGCATTTCTAAACTCAATAAAAAAGTCTATAAATTAAATCTCTTAATGCTCGAGCTAAACCTCTTCAAAACTTGCTCGCTTCACGACAAAAGTTCTCTTGTTGTTTTCCTACATTTAACTTTAAGCAACACGCAATAGAATATTTGATTCATTTAATGATCTTTTATGGCCATACCCGGAATGTGGGGCCTTGAAGGAAATTGAAAAATTCTATAATCCATAGAAATTAAATATTGGTCAAACTTTAATTTCTCTGCCCCATGAATGATCTTGTAATCTGGGATTGTTATGTTAGTAATTCAATGTTTGTTATGATGCCCATCTTATTTTTGGAAAACAAGATTCTATAGGTGAGATATTTTTTGGGTACAATGCCAAAGGCCAAAGATGATGGGGCTAAAAAAGTTTGAAGCTTCAAAACTGGGTGATTTTCGTTTGAGAACTTTAATCATTAGATCAAGTGATAATTGGTGATTTTAACAGAGAGTGACTCTTCAATGATTCTGTTCCACTATCCCAAATGAAAATATATTAGTTGAGTTTGGTACTTGCATATAAGTAGCTAAAATTCCTTTCTTTTTCAATTATTGCCAAATCACAACAGGTAATCTACATCACACAAACTTTCTCTTCGGCTATGAACAAAATATTGATAAATCAGTAAAATAATTTTTTATCCTGTATGTTACACCGTTCGAAACAAATTTTTGTTTAAATAACAAAAAAAAAATCATTCAAGTCCTGTACAAACAATTCTCTGTAAAACTAATATATTTAATAAATAATGTGGCTCTTATTAAAATTTTTATAATATATTAACAACTAGAGTCATGAAACTCAAAAATCTTGTTCTGACAAGTGTCTCACCAAAATTCTTTTATAGCAATCTTAAGTGCCAATTAGGCAAAGCTAAAGTGCAGTACCCGTTGCTGAAAATTTCAGTTTTTGCAGCCATTAATTAGGTCAGTAGGGAGACATAAACCAAGAAAGCTTGGGGCTTTTTTTTCTTCCCTTTTCAATTTACTCATATGTGGGTAAGATTATATGCATTATTTTATCTCCACTACATATAAAAGCTACTACAAGAATATGTAATTTATGCTTTAAAAAACAATGGCTGATATGCATGATAAATAAATAAGGAAATGGCTCAACTAATGGGTTCGTACATCTATTAAACTTTCATCCCACCATAACAATATTATTATTGTCGATCTAAATATATTTTTAGGAAAAATGACATTTAAATCATAAAAGATTTAATTAATAACAGTAAAATTAAAAAAAAAAAGAAGACAAGTTATAAATATTGATTCAAATATAAACAAAAATCTCAATTTTAAATTAAGAGTTATTCCCCTGGTACTATTTGTAACTTATAAATCACTTCTAATATGTTTTATTAGAATTAGGAAAAACATTATATCTTATTAATTTTATTTTAAAATTTAATAACTTTTCAACTTTATTTCTATTTAATATATTTATATATATACACTGTCCCCAAAAAAAGCCCTCTCTGCTCCACCTAATAGGATCAAATGAGTACATTTGAAACTTAAATGCCTTGTTTATGTATAATTTTTTTTGATCTTGCTGTTTCTATATAATTGAGACTTATGAATCTACGGTTATCTAAATTAATACTTACAAATTATTTTTTTAGAAAAAAATTGTTGGATACCTAGATGTCATTAATTGTCATTCTCTCATATTTTTATTGAAGTTTGGTCCTTTTTTGAATTTGACGTCTTGACAAAAACAAGGAACTGAGTGTCTCAATTGTATAAAAATGAGAAAACCTAGGACATCAAAGAAATATAACTCAACTACTCCTCCTTGGAAATTCCCTTCAGCTTCAAACCCATGACATGCAATATAATTCAACCCTCTGTAAAATTAAACGAAAACAACTTTACAGAAAGTGATAATAGAGAGAAGAAAGGTATGCCTCCTCCAAATGAAAAGTCTCCATTTATGCCTTTTTATTCTAACAAAAGGAAAAAGAAAAGGTCATCTTTTTTTTTATATTTATATTTATTATTTATACCTTAACAGGTGGGGAAAAAAAGATGAGATATGAAGATAATTTTTATCTTATCACCATGCCTATCATTTTTTTTTGTTTTGATTTTTCTTCCTTCATGCTCTGGGCATTTATCTACAGCATTACTAGAGTATTTGAAATGTTCTGTTTGCTTACCATTTCTTCAGCCACATATTTAAGGATTTTTTTTTCCTTCTCTTTTTTGCCAGTAATTGTCCTGTATTAGACGTGACTTGGCATGAGAAAAGGGATCGATTTCTGAGGAGTTTTGATCCATGAAGAATAAAATTATGATCATAAATGAAACTAGAATAGGCAATTGGCAGCTGGAGTATGCCAATGTAATAACAAAATAAGAATTAGAACTCATGACTGTTTCTGTTCCTCTCATCATCCGACGTTTGAGAATCTTCCCTGATTTCCACTTTTTGTGTCAGTGCCTCCTTCTCTGTTTCATCCTCTGCTTCCCCTGTTTCTGTTAATCTCTGAGATCTCTCGGCCTCAGAATACCAATCCGTTCGACTCAGAATCACCAACATAGTCACTGCACAAGTGCCCTGAGCACCCAATAGGCCAAGCCATAAGCCTTCAAAATCAAACCCAGCAAAGAAAGCTAGCCAAATCGCCATAGGCATTCCCACCAGATAAAAGCTAGCCAAGTTTATAGTCGCACCTACTTTTGGGCTCGCAATGCCTCTCAGGACCCCACACCCTGTTGTTTGTGGGCAATTTCCTAGCTCACACAGTCCTATGATCGGTAAAACCGTGGCCGTCAGGCTTATAATCTCTCTATCGCTTGTGAACATGCTAGCCCAAACGTTCCTTACCATCACAGAAAACAGAAGAGCTGAGATCCCTACGATGAAGCTGCAAGATAGTCCTACGATGGCAGAGAGCTTTGCATTTGAGGGATTCTGAGCGCCAAGGTTGTTACTGACTCTGGTGGATACACTGAAGCTTATGGAAGATGGGAAAATGTAAAGAAGAGAAGTTGTTTGGATCAAAATCCCCATGGAAGCCACGGTGGCTTTAGGGTTCACCAACAGCCCACAGAGCAAAATCATGATCTCGTACCACCACCATTCCAGGCAAACTGAGACGCAACTTGGGATCGCCAGCTCGATTAGCGACTTCCACTGCGTGAAACACTCGAAAGAGAAACCACCCCATGTTTTCTTATGAGTTCCTGAGAAAATTATGTACATAATCAAAGAAGCCACGAGGTTGAAATTGGTCCAAACCCCACTCAAAGCCACGCCTTTGATTCCCAGACCAAGGTGAGAAACCAGGAAGAAATTGATGGGTATGTGAAGAAGAATGGCCAGAGCAGAACAGAGGGTGAGAGGCAGAGTAATGGACTGTGTTCGGAGGTAAATACGTAATGGGTGCAAGAGAGATTGAGCTAAAAGATCAGGAATCGAATAAAGAAGATAAGATTGAGCTCGTGTGGCTATGGCTTCATGCTGGCCACACAAGAGCAGAATCTGCTTCATGTAGAGCCAAAGCAGAGAGATGGGGATGGAGGCGAAGAGAAGAAGAAGAATGGTTCTCTGCAAGCAGAGGCCGAGAAGGGTGAATTTCTTGGCGCCGAAAGCCTGACCGCAGATGGGTTCCATGCCGACCGCGAGGCCGGAGAGGATGGAGTAACCAGTAATGTTGGCAAAGCCAACAGCTAGGGAGCCGCCGGCCAAGCTGAGCTCACCGAGACGGCCGAGGAAGAGCATGGAGATCATGGAACGACAGTAGAGGAGGAGGCCGGTGAGGATGATGGGAAGAGCAATTTGGGAAATGGAAATGAGCTCTTTGAAGGGGTCAGAGAAAGTGGGAGGCGTGTGGGATTCCAAGACTTTTGGGATCAATGGCTTGTTCATCGTGTTTTGTAGGTTTCTGACAAAGTTCCAAATGAGGAAACAGCAGCAGGGAAATGGAAATGGGATTGGGATTGGAATTTTATGCGAACACAAGATAAGTTGAAGTAAGATGAGGCATTATGTATTTAAGTGTGAACAGAGATGAAGCAGAGGAGGCTGGGGGGATTTGAGTGGGGGGTCTGAGGGATGGATTGCCAAGGGCTTTATATAGAGACTACAGAGAGGAAGGGACGATTTGGGGACGATGAAAACCTATGGAGAACGGCTTTTTTTTCCCCTCCTTTTTAATGAAAATGTTACACATGGATTTTTCCACACTAATTGTTTAAGGAAATAATTTATATGTTTAGCAATTAGGATACCGAAACATGGATACGGTACGACTAGTGCCTGGTGTATTTTTAACGACAAGGAAAAAGAAAAAGAAATTAGAATAAAGGTGTAAGTGAATTTGTTTATGTTTTTTTTTATACAAATTCTGTGTAATTTTCTCCTTCTTTTCTTTTTTCTTTTTAATAATAATAAAGTTTGAAAGAATTCTTGTATAAGTTTTACCAAAATAGAAAGAAAGAAGAGGGTATATATATAGAAAAAAAAGTAGAGAATGATGTATGGAAGGAGCAAAGGATGGGGGTTAGATAAAGACAACAGTGTCCTTGGGGCCTTCTAAGACAAAGGACCCATATTGATACCATCCTGCTGATATGAGAGTTCATTGTTTGGATGTTACGGGCTGTTTGAGGGAAATTAATTTTACGGTGTACAAAATAAATACGTAAGAGATTTTTTTATCTCAATTTGTATTAAAGTATTTTTTAAAAATGCTTTTGGATAAACCAAACACCCTCTAAATTTAGTTCTAAGTAAAAAAAAAATTAATTTAACTTATCTGGCGCTTATAATTATTGATTTTTCAAGTTAATTTATCTAATTTATAAACCAAACTGTTATATATTAGAAATAGAAAGGTAAATATGCACAAGCTGTGGCAATTTTGATGGCAAAACAAATTAAAGTTGTCAGTTTCGGTGCGAGACATGTTTGGAACAACGGGAGTTAATGAGTTTTGGTGGAAGGTAGTTGTTTAGGAGGCATCCTCAGATTCCTATGTGTTGTGGTGCAGCGTACTACGCTACCCCTCCTGTCTTCTCCTTCTCCCTCTTTGCTTTGTCTCCTCCTACCTACACATACACTCTCCCACATGCTTCTCTTTGCCTCTCTCTAACCACCTCAATCATATACTTAATTACCATACACTATTTCATTGAAAAACATTATGTGTTTCACGTTAAAAACCATTAAGGCCCTGTTTGGATAGCAGGCCAAACCATGATTTGGAGACCCAAACCATGGTTTGGGAAAAAAACAACCCAAACAGGCATAAATTATCTGAAACCATGGTTTCGGGAGAAGTGAATCTATTATGCTTTTAGCTCAAATTAGAGAGTATAATTGTGCCTATTAGAGTAAATCTCAACAATAATATAACTTTAATACCCTTAATTAATTTTCTATAAAAACATATTTAATCTTATATCTTATAAATAAATATACACATTAATTATTTATTAATTACATTATCTTATGTATTATTAATTATGTTGGTAAAAAATATATTATTAACAATTTTATTCCTTCAAATTAAAATATATCATACAATCTATGTTTTATATAATTATAATATTAACTTATGTTTTTTTAATAATTTGTACATATAAAAAGTGTTTCTGATAACAACTATCCAAACACTTTCACTTCTCAGAATCATTTTTTCACAAAATCTATTCTTCACAAAATCTATTTTTTCCAAAATCTATTCTCTGGAAGCTATTCTCCAAACCATAGTTTGGTTTCATCCAAACACTCCCTAAAACTAAAACTAAAATCACCGTTTTGACGAAAGCAGGTATGGTTTCTAATGTACTAAAACCAAATACATGCTAAAAGGCATTTAAAAAAAATATTTTTATATAAGTTGATACAAAACTTTTCTCATGTATTTATTTTGTACACTGTCACTTTTAAAAAATTAACGAGTCATAATTAAACAACAAACACTTTATATAACTATATTTTCATTAATGTACGTTGATTATATCAATGCTTGCATACAATTTTGAGAATTTAGGTCAAACAACTTACAAATGTTATAAAACTTATTAGGTCAATATATATAATTGTTCCAAGCAAAACGGCATTAACTCTTATTGGTTAGATAGCTACACGCAGTCAATGAATTGAACTAATAATTAATTATATAATAACGGTGAGGGCATGCTTGAATTATTCCTCACAAGGTTAAAATTGAACGTGCATTCAATATTATTATTAGTATTACTACGTAATTAACGATGATTCGAATTGTTGGTAAAAATCAAAACATGACACCTTTGTTTTCTTTTCAAATGTGGATATATTCGATTCGCCATTTTGCTCCATGTGAGGTGAGATATAGAAAACAGAGTTATGCATGTCTCATTGATTATATAATTAAATTTTTATTTAAAATAATGATTAATAAATAATAAACTAGCTTTTTGTGTGTCCACACAAAGACAACATCAAATCGAATTATTTATTTTAATTCTCACATGTCTTTGATAATTTTTCTTCCAAATTAAATTTCTTACGCCACGTTTGGATATATTGTAATGAATGTTTTGATGACATGATAAAATTAATATATTAATTATCAAATAAAGATTATTTTAGATTCAAATACAATCTCTGGCGATTGTAATCTATTGAATGAAAGGAAGGGACTAAATATATAGAATTTGAAACATCACCTTTAAGGGAAAAATAAGGTCTCAATAAAAAAAAATATATTTATATATTTATATATCCTCCATTTCATCGTTGACTCCGCATGTACAGATTCAGTAAGGGTGTACGTCAAGAAAGTAACGCTGGTCGTTACCAAGGGCTACGTCAAAAATTGGAACCTGAAATTTTTTTTTGGGGGTGGAGGGGGGAGTTCACCGGTGAAAAACCATTAGAGACATTAAGGACTTTTTTGGTTTTTTGTTTTGGAAATAATTTTTTATTTTTAAAAACAGGAAAAAAAAATTTGTTTGGTAAGTTGTTTTTAGTTGATTGTTTTTAAAAAAACATGTTTTTTAAAAACCAAAACAACTTTTACATATTTTTCTTTTTTTGTATTTTTTATTTTTTGTTTTGAAAATTTTTGAGAAATCTTTTTCTCTTCTTACTTACTATCCACTACTTATTATTACTAAGGACAACTATCACCTACCAAGTATAGTTTTTTATTGGTTTTTTTTTTCAAACATGATTTTTTAAAATTATTATCCAAACAAATTCTTTTGTTTTTTTTTTTTCAAAACTTGTTCTAAAAAACAATTTTATAAAATTTTTTTGAGAACAAGAAAATAAAGAATAAAAACAAATAAGCCCTAATTAATTTGACAACCATATCATTCAGGATTGATTCAAGTTTTACATAATGCTTATGTCCGATGGAAACACATGCAAAGCAAATTTGACCGGTTGGTGCATGGGTTTTGACCAAGAATCAAGCCAAATATTTACAACTACTGTTTGTATATATCCTTGTTTTGAAAAATATTTTTTTTATTAAAAAGAAAACAATATGTATAAAATCTACTCATCCGATTCTTAATATAAAACCTAATTAACTAATTTAAGTAAATTAAAAATATTAGTTAAATTAGTTAATATAATATATTCTTTCTAAAATACCTTAAGTATCTTCTTTAATTTCCTTCCTCTCTTTTCTACTTGATTATTGTCAAAAAAATATCAATAGGATTAATTTTAAAAAAATAATAAACATATGAAATATATCTTACACATAGGACCAGCATTAATTAACTTCCCAGTTATATTCTACATTAAGGAGTATTATACAACATGCAATGGTTAATGCACACGTAATAGTAGTAACTTAAGAACAATATTGTACGGGAAGGATGTTTAAACGGAGTCTATTAAGAAAAAACTATTAGTACTATTTATTTATTTATTTATTTCCTGTGAATTTGGAGCAGTTTAAAATATATATTTTTATATTTTATGAGATAAAATTATTTTCACGTAATTACTCTCAATAACGTAAAATCACTTCTTTATCACAAGGTACTAATTAGAAGTAATTCATCCATCAGGTTGTGTGAATATGATATTAATCTCTTCTGTCTTATTTATAAGCTTTAAATTTAAGAATGAGTGTGATTCATTTTGTAAGTTTCAATTTGAGTTTATTTTAACGTTTAATTTATTTTTTATTTTTTAATTATTTATTCTCTCTTCTTTTTCATAATCTTTACTCTTATCATATTTTTCCACACATTCTCTTTCATTTTTTTCTTATTTATTATGGGGGCAGATTTGAAAACAAAAATATATTTTTAACATTATTTTTAGCTAATTGTTTTCTTATCCATGAATCGATTATTTGAAGCTTCTAATAAAAAGCAGAAGGAGTATTAGTTAGATATATGGTGTGCAAAATTCGACATTTCGTTTCCCTCTTGAGATTGATGTGTGAGATTCGTATCAAAGCAATTGAAGCTTTCGGTGGTAACCCTTAATTTTCTGATGAAGATTTGAAAAATAAATTCCCAATCATGTTCAGCAAATTAAAGGACCTACACTAAATAGCCGCTAATCTTCAAAGTTTGAACAACAGGATTGCCCCAGTTGGAGCCCAAAAGATGAGACAGTAAACATTCCTTTAAGAGAAACACGAGTTTGACGACATCCATCAAAATTTTTCAAATTAACAATAAAGAGAGCATGCAAAAGCTTGGTTCAGAATGATACAGCAAGATCAATGCCCTTTATATAAGACCCATTTAACTAATTTGATTAGATTAAGGAAGTTAGGTAAATTAGTTAATTATAAGAAAAGTGACACATTTTTCCTAAAACACCATAATCATCTTTCTTAATACTCCTTCTCTCTTTTACTTGATTATAGTTGAGGGAATATCTATAGGGGTAATTTAGAGAAAATTGATAAGTATGAGAAATGAGTCTTATATTTAGGACCAAAACCAACTCACTAATTGGGTCCTATATTAAGGACCGGAGGAGTAATATGTAAGGTGTTTAATATTTATTTTCCTATTTTGCAATTCTATACAATTAAATTTTATAAGTAATTAATTTG